AATTAAAAATTTTTCCCCCCCCCCCCCCTACAGAATCCTTATATCCGCCCCTGAACAGATTATAGATGTTTTTAACAAGTCTAAGTATACTAAGAAAATTGATAGATTTGGTAAATTTCTAAGATTTTGGAAATTTCCCAAATGACTGGATAGTTGAAAAATTTCCCAGATGACTAAATACTTAAGAAATTCTCCAAATGTCTTGGTGTTTTGGGCAATTTCCCGAAAAGCTAGGCATTTGAGTAATTTCCTATAGTTGAAAAATAAACCACCCTCAGATTATACCCAGAAATTTCTCAATTACCTGGGTTTTTGGGAAATTTCCCAAATGCCTTGGGTATCTGGGAAGTGTCCCAAATGCCCAGGTTTTTGGGGGAATTCTCAATTTTGACATTTTTGATAATTGCTGAAACTCCCTCTCGAAGTTCTAAGACGACAGTTAAATCGTGTTTATATTGTCATGTTTTAGGAAACACCCTGTATCATGAGTATCATCAACTGAATGAGTCAATTTATTAACACACAACAAAGCTAAAACAAATAATTATTTGGAAAGACGATATCGAGCTCGTCACTGAATTCCCATGTTTATTTGGACACCCTGTACATCTGTCGAAGGTCCGAAGTATCGTAGGACGGAAGTATTGTAGAACGGAAATTCCGTAGGACCGAAGTAACATTATAGCATGATTGGAGCTTCCGCTCATGGTACTACAGGGTGTCCCAAAAAACATGGGAATTCAGTGACGAATTCGATATCGTCTTTTCAAATAATTCTTTGATTTAGTTTAGTGATACCTACTGAGAAAGCTGTAATCTGTAAAAGTTTCGTCTGCTATGTTCACATTTTGTTTGTTTATGTTTTGACTGCATACGGTTGTACTTAGTAAAACAAGAAAATTGCAGTATACAAACAGAGTAAACTTGTCCGTCTTCACTGTTCATCTTGGGGATACATTATTGACACATCTTTACAGTCATCTTTTTCATAAAATAAACTCTAGCAGACATAGTTATATTATGGCTTTTGAAATTAGGTATTACAATGCTAATTCATAACAAAGACGATATCGAATTCGTCACTGAATTCCCATGTTTTTTGGGACACCCTGTATAAGTAAAATCGAATCAAACCCATAAACAAATTTTAAAATGCATTTTATTAACTCTCTTCGGTTCTATCAAACTTTATTTCGTTTTGCTTTAATAAGCATGGAATAAATAATCAATTTACTTCGATATATTTATGATTTTACACGTATCAAATTAAAAAAAAACATATTTAAATCAGAAAATTACATTAAGAATAAAAAATTATTTAAACATTGAAAACATAGAATAAAAAGTAAATTGATATATAGATCTGATCGAGGATCTATGTTTCTCCAGGTATCCTAGATATTACAGGATATATAG